CGACGGGCCCGATGGCCCAAGTTTGCCCAGGAACGTGCGGAATCACGATCGGGGAGCCTATTTCTGATCCATCGGCGTTCTACCGCCGATTCTAAGTCGATGTCCCCCCCCTACGCCAGTCTCCCCCAGATCGTTGCCCCTCATCCCTGCGCCTCGACAACCGGGAGCTGCTTATTCGTTCAGCGCGGCCCGGTGCCAATGTGGACTTGTTTCCAAAGCTCCCGCGGTCCGTTGGCAAGCCTCCTTGCGTTGTCTCCAAGGGAGGGCGACCTGAGACAGCGGTAGATGGCCTTCGCGGGGCGCCCCTCGTCGCCAACGTTGGACGCAGCTCGGTCAACCGTTGCGCTTGGGCCCTGGGAGAGATTTAAGTCGGGCGTGTCCCTCTACAAGGGAAATATTCAAAAATTGTCGAAAATAGTATGGGGACGTTTTTTGTTTAAGTCATTGTTCGATCATGTTTGGGCATTCTGGGGGTATTTTGTTTTTGTTTCGAAATCTGCCTGCATCGGGACATGCCCGACCTAAGGAGATGTCTGGGGGCAGACTCCGAGCTGCCGGTGTCTCGACTCGCCCTGCTTCCGACTCTCGTCGTGGCATGTCGTCCTCCTCGGGGAGCTTTCTCGTGCTGCTGGTGCACGCTGCTTTGATCTCGGCTCCTGGAGGTTTCGGGGGCCTCGGGCGTTTTCCACCAGCCGTGTCTTGTCGATCAAGGGAGGAACAACTACCTGGGCCCGATAGTTTGGGTTTCTAAACGGCCCTGTGCGTTTCCTGAGCAGCCCTGCCCTGTTCGATTCCTTCTTTGGGTGCGTCTACTAAAACGGCCTCGCTTGCCGGGGCGGTTCTCATGGGGGGGGATTTTTTGCCTTTCGATTGGGCCCGGGCTCCAGAGGCCGAGCTGCCTCGATGCGCCCGCTCTGGGACGCAGCACGTACCCTGCTCAAAACGTGAAGGCTCCGACCACCTTTCCGAACCTGAGCTAAATACAAAACGACGCGAAGATCGGGATGAAATCGGATCGGGATAACTCGAAATCTTTGAGAATCGGCGGGTTTGGAGGATGTATTGGGCGCCGCGGCCGCTCCAGAGCGTTCCGGAACGCTCTGAGAGCGCTCCGGAACGCTCTGGAGCGATTTATCCCGATCCTAGCCCTGTTTTAAAATAATCCAGCAAGAACTGGAAGGTTTTTTGTATAAAAAAGCGTCCGTGTCAACACGCTGCGTGCTGGCTCAGCGTGTCGGCCCACGTCGTGGCGAGCGCATCGCGTCGGACTCCGCGTTCTCCGTCTGCCCGTGGAGCTCCGTCTCAATGCGCTGCGCGCTGCGTGTGGCGTCACGTTCAGAGGAGGAATCAGGAGGGGGCAAAAACACACAAACATAATTCATCGTCGATCCCCAGGAAAAGATCATATAGGAAAATACGGGAAGTGGGGGGGAGACCCAAACCCAGAACACATTGAAAAATACAGGGAATCCTGGGATTGGTGTCTATTTAATTGTGTGTCCCAGGGCTCCTTCAAGGAAGAGGCACCGATACCGCTACGTGCGGTAGGTTCCCGTCGCGTCGACTGGCACCGACGGCGACCCCGCCAGCGGCGTTCAACGTCGAACGCCGCGGGCGACCAATAATCGCTCGATGTGGAACGATTTGGACGTTTCGGAAACGGCCAGTCGTTCAAGGGTGAACGATCCCCGCGGTCTCAGGAACCATCGCCGGGGTCGACACGACGCGAACCTGTCGTACCGCTACGTACACGTCCCTGGTCTCGGGCGGGTGGTACTGGGGGGTGACTTCAGTCCAGCCGGGGCCCAAAAGGGGTGACAAGTGTCCCATTGGGGCCCCATACCTTCACTCCCGATTTCGGTCACCCCCCAGTGCCGCTCGCCCGATTACCACCACGGCTGGACGTCTCCTCGAGATCCTGGGCAGAACGAGCCCCAGGGTCCGTGGAGGGGCGGTCGGGGTGGCTTGTCGCGGCGTGCGGACGTGGCAGACGCCAGTCGTTGAGAGTGGGCATTGCTGGGTTTCCAGGTCCCAGTCCACTCCTAGCGCCGTCCTGCGTCAGGCATCGGTGTGTCTTGCTGCTGCTGCTGGTTACTCCCCGGGCAGGCCGTGACCCTCTCTGCTTGATCCGCCCTCCTTCAGGAGGGGAACAAACACACAGACACAATTAATCGGGGATTCTCAGAAAATATGGGAAAATATGGGAAGTAGGGGGGAAGACAAAAACCCAGAAAATATGAGAAAATATTGGGGATATGTTTATTTGTGTGTATTTATTTGTGTGTCCCAGTTCCCCTTCACTCCTGCTTCGTACCTCCGCCCACTTCCGAACGGTGGGTGCTGGAAGGCATCCGTTCGCCGCCCGTTCTGAACAGGGGTGAACGCGAGATTTCGCAGCAGGCGGTCCGAATTGAACGCCGTCAAAGGCACCGGACACGTTGGAGAAAGCCAGGCGAAGGAAGCGACAGATATGGTATCGCATCTCTGGCGCCGCGTCCAGGGCAATATCCCAATTCACAAGAACCCAAACACGACACTCGAAGAGACAATAATAATAAAGAAAATACGTTCGGCAAAACAGGCGACGAGAATGCTGACTGGAGTCGCTGTCGGTGTCGCCGCGACCATTTGGGCAACGAGGCGCCTGCCCAGCAGCGGCCGCTGCCGGTGCTGGGCAGTGCTTGCTGCGGGGCATCTCGTGCCCAGTTCTGCTCGTGCCCGCGTAGGGCGTGCCGGAGACGGGGCCGAGGGCCCCCGAAGCCCACCTATAGAATGAAAGGCACGTCAAGCAGTGGCGAAGCGTCCCGGCTGGCCTATCGCCTTGCCAAACAATGTTCTGATCATCTTTTGTGGTTTCCACGGATTGTTCTTAGAACATTTCTGGCTGGGACTGTCTTGTTTTAACACGTCGGGTTCTTGTTCTAAGAACATTGTTTCTGTTATTCGAACATTTTGAAGTTCTAAGAACATGCCGTGGTAGGACTATAGGAATGCCGGGACGGTCGGTCCCTGCTCAAGCACGACGCAAGGTCTGGGCGAGGGGTGCCGGAAGAAACCGAGCAGACCCCCCTTCCTCTGGCCCAAAAAACAACCCCAGACATGATCGCGAGGACGGGAGGTTTTTTGGGCCGATGTCGGCCTCGGGGGGGCCCTCGCCGGACCTTCGGGACCGTCAACAACACCAGTCAGGACGAAAAACCGGCCCCGGGGAAGGGGTCTGAACTTCGGGGGCGCCGTCCTGGAAACATCAGGACGTCGCATGTCTGGGACAAGAGGAGCAAACGCCGAACAAAACACATGGGCATAAACAGCTGCTGTCGGATGTCCGCGCGGACTCTTTCGGTTGGCGCTAGAAAGCCTCCTGGCGACGCTTGTGGCGCCGCCCCTGGCGCGCTCCGGAGGGGGGGGGCATGGCCGTTCCCAGAAATCCGCGCGGGCCGCCGACAGATTCTGCTTGTGCCGACGGTCTTCTCCTGGCCCAGGGGGCAAATCACAAGAGGTGCGTCGGCTGGTGTCGCTTGCCTTCTGGCGGGTCTGCCTGGTCGGCTCTTGGGCCCCCTGGGTTCTTTCGGAGGTCGATCGGCCTCCTGCCCTGACACGTCGACTCGCGAATTGGCCGTTCTCGGGTCGCGAGGGGGTCGCGCGGCCGTCATGTTTGCGGGTTCAGGTCCGTCGGTTTCGGTCCTGGGCCGTTTTCACTAGAAAGGGTGGTGTGCGAAAGGGAGCTTTGTCTACCTCAGGAGGGGAAAAAACACACAGACACAATTAATCGGCGATTCCCAGAAAATATGGGAAAATATGGGAAGTAGAGGGGAAGACAAAAACCAAGAAAATATGGGAAAATATGGGGAATGTTTCTATTTGTGTGTGTTTATTTGTGTGTCCCAGTTCCCCTTCACTACCGCCGCTTCTTGGGGTGGCCAACGGACCGCGGGTCGCGGCGCTCCTGCCGGAGAGAGAGAGAGGTGTCGGCAGCGCGTCGAGAAAAGTTCGGGGGGCGGCGCCTCCGGAGAGCGCTGCCGCCTCGGGCCGGGCGTCGGCGGCGGGATTCCGCTGCAGAGAAGGAACCCTTTTCGTTGGGGACGTCGCGGGACCTCGTCGACGCTGATCTTGGTCGTTGTCGTTGCCGGCCTGTGCCAACTCGGCGCGCCAGACAAGGACATGCTGCCGATACCAGGGCCCTTCCCTCGTCGCCACGGCTGGGGTATCGCCCCGCAGTTCTTGTCCGAGCGCACTCCTGGAACGGTCCCCGGAGTAGCGGTACAGTCGGGTCGCTGAAGAAGGGACCTTTTTCGTTGGGGAGGGGCTCCGTGTTCCTTATTGTTTCACAGCTTGCCTCAGGTTGTCCTTCTATTCTCGTTGGGCAATCGAAGTTTAACTTATGGAGAAAAGGGGCCTCGTTCCTTATTTAGGGTTCCTTAGGTCAACGCCCCGACTGTACACGAACGGCCTCCAGTGGATATTGCTCCTGGGCCTCGTGGGGAGGGGGCGGTGTGTGTGTGTGTGTGTGCAGTGGTGGCGCGCAGCAAGGAGCCACGTGCTTCTCGTCAGGGTATCCCGGGTTTCCTCGCTCCGCGCGTTGCGCGGGGACTTCCTGCAGCCGTTGAAGAAGCTGCTGCGTTCAGGGTGCTCCGACTTTCCCCTCAGGTGCACCTCGCGCGCGGGTCTTTAGGGTTGGGTGTCTTGCAAGGGTTTCTTGCGGCCGCGCCCGCACTGTATAAACCACCACGGTGAGCCAGCGGCTCCGTACGCCGCCACCCTCCCTGAAGGCAAATGCAAAGTTCGTCGGAGGATGCCCGTGTGTATGCTTTCGTGGCGCACTGTCAACCCGCATGGTAAGGATGGGCAACCTTCCCAAGGGCACCCTTGCATCCCTGGCCGCTTTCGCTGGCCGCGCCCCGCTCGAAAAGCTTCGAAATGGCCTTCGAGGCCCTTGCATCCTTCTCGTGCCTCCTTCTGATACGGGTCGGCTACATGGAGGGCGTCGCAGCACGCCGTGCCCTCGCCAGGGCGCGTGCGCGCATTGGCTCAAGGGCGGCGTGGGCGTTCCGAGGCGCGCCGCTGTGCTCTCGGAACGTTTGCGTGCGGCAGGCCCGCCCAACGTTGACGCCGCGGCGGCATATATACGATCCCGGGCTCCGGGCCCTCGCCCCCCCCCCCTCCCCGATGGGATGGGGCTCGTGGTCCCTCGGCCCCCCCCACCCCTGATGGGATGGGGGGGGACGACCACGACGACGACGACGTCGACGACGCCGACGGCGACGACGACGGCGACGACGACGACGCCGACGACGACGACGACGACGCCGACGGCGGCGGCGGCGACGACGACGACGACGATGACGACGGCGGCGCCGACCTTTGGAGCCCTCCGACGACGACGGCGGCGGCGGCGACGACGGCGACGATTTCCGGAGCGCTCCTGGAGCACCACCGTACCACGCCACGCACGCCACACCCACAGTACCACACCACGACCCGCAAGGGGCGGGGGCCATCGCGCGGGGGGGGGGGGGGGGGCGGGGCGATGGCATCGGCATGAGGGGGGGGGCCCAGACCCTGGACCATATATGGCGGCCTTGCCGCGGACGTTTACGGCTGAAAGCCTTCCGCTCAGAGGAGGGAAAATGTACAGCGGAGGCCCATACCAAGAGACACCCTGCTTGACTCCAGGGTGCCCTGGGTTTCTTGGGATTCGATGGTTTTGCTATGGAGAGCGTGACGTTCCCTCACCAAAAATCAATGGATGTCCTGGGGTCTCAGGGTTGGGTTTCTTGTGGAAGGTTTCTTGTGATCGGGCCCCTACTGTACGGCGACCGCGCCGCGGGCGTTTCTGGTTGACAGCCTTCAGTTTCGATGAGAAAACGGTACCCGTACCTCTACGCTTTAGCGCCGATTTAGCGTCGATTAGCGTTAGTTAAGCGTCGATCTAGCGTCGATTAGCTGCGATTTAGCGTCGACCAGAGCCGTCAAGATGGTATGGGAAGCTTCTATCAGTTGCCACCGAACTCTACGCTTCCCTCGCTCTTCCCGTCTTTGAGGCTTCCCGGGAGGCCACCGCTGAATGATCGCTTTGACAAAAGTCATGGTCAGAACGCACCACGGGCGAGGTCCGGGGAGTAGCGATGTCGGTACTTTTCTGGGTTTCCCCATTCGTGGCCCAGAATCGGCCGATCCCGAGCGGCGCATGCAACCGGGAAGCCGTGGTCGTTCAGGCTTGAACGGTTTGCGCGGCGTCAGAAAACCGATTCGCAGGTCGTCACGAGAGGAGCCAGCTGAGTTTGCACAGTCCGAAAATTTGGAGGTGGAGTGCATCTGCGGAAAGCGCCTGCAACATAATATGCACCTTCGTGTCTGTGTCTTTGCTCTGTGTGTGCTCGTCAGCTCGGTGAAGGATCCCCTGCGAATCTGGCATCCATTTTTTGTAGAGTTATCGATGATAACGTCTTGGGCAGACACGCATAGTCATTCGTGGGCAGACATACCTAGACAGCCTAGGTTTACTTCGACATATACACATAGATATGTATATATATAGATGCACAGATATATGTATGTATATACAGACGTGTTACTGTCATTTCCCAGCGGGTTGGTGACCGACAGCAGCATGGACTCTTGCGAGTTTTGCCCTGGTCGGGAGCTCTGCTGTCCACTGGACCCGCGCATCTGGGGCCTACCTTCCCTCACCACACACACATTCATTGCGGCAGTACGTTGCGGCCCGCAGTTTTTCACCGTACGATCGAGCTCACTGTCACGAGGGTGGTCCGTCACTGGTGATCGCCGACCCGTACGCCTCGACTGCCAAGCACAGCCCTCCCTCACACATCGCACCGCGGTGAGACAGGCAATGCCCCTTTCAGCGTGGCTTGCCCCTGACTGGGGCGCTGGTCGTCGATCGGCGGATCCACGCACGGCACCTCTCACGCCGCGGCACTGTAACACTGCGACCTCGTCTCCAGCGCTAACAAATACTGAACGGGTTCGGTCCAACGAATGAGCGCGTGCTGGGCTCAATTGGGGGGGCAATCACGTTCTCGCGCCACGGGCGAGAGTTGACGCCAATGACAAACGCAAAGGTCTAACACACTGACCTCTGTCCCCCTCACTCTCATGTTTTTTTTTTTGTTACAAATATGTGTTTTTTCTGTCTCTCTCTCTCTCTCTTCTCCCCTCTCTTTGCGCATACTTTTTTTTTCTCTCTCTCTCTGCCTCCCTCCCTCACTCTGCTGATGGACGGCCCAGTCCATCGCTGCCTCTCGCTCCCCTCTTTCCCCTGACCTGTCCATAAATCTGGCGGTATGTCTATCATCTCCGTGTCTCTTTCCCTCTCTTTCTCTTTCTCTCTCTCTCTCGTTCTTTCTCTGTCTCCCTTTTCTTTCTTTTTCTCTCTCTCTCTATATAAATATATTCATTTATCTATCTCATATATATATATATATATATATATATATATATATATATGTACATGTATATCCCGGGGGACGAGGACCGGGG